ACATGGCCCACACAGGCCACATGGCCCACACAGGCGCATAGTAGGCCCACATGGCCCACACAGGCCCACACAGGCCCATAGAGGCCCACATGGCCCACACAGGCCCACACAGCCCACATGGGCCACACAGGCCCATAGAGGCCCACACAGGCCCACACAGGCCCACACAGGCCCATAGAGGCCCACACAGGCCCGCACAGGCCCAGCCGCCCCATGCTGCAACTTCTGCAAGGTGGGCTGTTCAACAGTAACTCAAACTCATAGAAAACCGTTGCATTCTCTCTCCCGGATGACGAACTGGCCTTCAAGCCAGAAACCTTCCCAGGACTCTGCTGGACAGAAGTGAAGCGCTTCAATCACCAACAGCCCTTCTCTCGGGAAGCACAAGAGAGTTACTGACGGGGAGGGAGATGAGGGCCCTGAGGTCACCCAGACCCCTGCAGCCACGAAGCTTCCCGCTCTGGAAGCCAGCACTTTTCTCCTTTTGCTATGAATTGGGAGTTTTTAAACTGGGGCCCATAGGCAGGCGTGGGAAGCCTCAAAATTTCGTGACCAGAGTTACCACATTCACATATGGGTCTGGGACCTCAAAAGAAAACTCCTGCTGCAGAGGGGATATGTGATCCTGCTAGAGAGTGCGAGTTTCAGCTCTCACTGGGAACGCCAGGCAACCTGGGATGGCGAAACTGAAGAGATCCAAGCACCTTTATTACTCAAAAAGAAAGCAGGCCAGGACAAAAGGAAAAGAGCCGTGTGAAAAGCACAGCATCTGTTCCCCAGTTCCTGCCAAACCGGACACCATGGTAACAGCATCATAATCTGCTGGGCTTCCTGAAGACTCTCGATTGTCTCTCCTCAGCGAACACCTGCACCTTTTCCAGGCATGCGGAGAGTGATTCACTCATCCCGCCTCATTAGCCCAGGGTGGCGGCGATTACATGAACGTGTGGGCAATCCACAGCTTCCAGGACTGAATCCTGGGCCCGCAAAGTAAACCGGATGCTGGCTACCCTGGGGATCAGAGACACCGCATTCCATCACTCGGGACGGAGGCCAGGGATAAGGGTACCAGATAAAATACAGATACGGGACACGTGCAATATTTGGGGCATTCTTCTAAGAAACAATTATGTGTTGTTTACTTGAAATGAAAATGTAAATGAGCATCCTATATATACTTATTTGCTAAATCTGGCAACCCTAGCACCCAGAAAGTAGCTGCTGGACAACCCACCCTTCCTCTCTCAGTTTCAGCCAAGGGAAACTGCAGCCAGGCTGGCAGCCCGAAGTGCTCAGCTAACTGTACGCTGGCACTCAAGGAGCGATCCCACGGAAGTCAACCCTGGTGGGATTTCAGACACACCAGGGAGCTTTAAATACTACTCAAACCCCAGGCGCATTCCCAGGCGTTCTGATTTAAGCACCCTGAAATGAGGCCCTGGCTTCAGTCTGTTTTTTAATTCCCCACAGATGATTTGAATGGAAAGCTAGGCTGAGAAGCACTGAGCTAGGACATTCGTTCTCAAACGTTAGAGCTCATGAACAAGCACCTCATGGGTGGACCTTGAACCAGTCTAGATCCTTGCTACTCAGAGTGTGGTCCCAAACCTGCGGCATAAGCCTCGAATGGGAGCTCGCTGGAAATGCTAGGAAGCTCTCTAGAATCTCGGGACCTCATCTGCATTTTGAGAAGATATTCCAGGTGACTTGCTTGTCCATTAGCGTTTGGGAGGCCCTGGCCTAGATAGTTAACCCTTTCCGGGCGCCTCCGAAGCTGACTCTTACACCCCCAGCCCCTTCTGAGCCCTCCCAGCACGAGGGGGCCCATCTTCGTGCAATAACCCCTCTCAGGACTGGAGTTCTTCTGAAGCACAAAAGGGCCTTGGACAACATTTCTGTCCTCATCAAATAATAACATAAAAAACACCAACTTATCAATATCAAAGTGTGCACAATGAACATTTGGTGTGCTTATTAAAGAAAGATGTGTGGTTAAAAAAAAAATGAGTGAGGTAGGAGGTTGCTAACTACTTGCAATTATTTAAAGTGGCTGTAAAGAAAATAAGAAAAGGCATCATAAGGTAGGTGTAATTAGGGATAATGGAACAAAATTAAGCACAGGACAATGTACACTGAGTATTGAATACATTTTTTCACAGCAAGGTCAGTGGTTCCTGTGGTTGTTCCATCAAAAGGGCTGACCCCCTTTCTCCAGGTAAGTAATTTTCAAACTAGACTGAGGGGAGCATTTGGAGAGAGGTTACCAAGAAATCCTTTACTGCCCAGGCGCTGATCTGGATGATTTAATACAGCACTTCCATTCCTGGAATTGGGTATTTACTTGCCAAAATGCTTTCCACTTGTTTTATTAACTATGCTTTTCAAATGCCCCTTTGAGGTCAATAAGAATTTTATTTCCACTTTTGCATAAGGAATTTGAGACACGGGGGTAGAGAGACTTGCCCAAGGACATCCTGCAAGTGAACAGCTGGTGTCTGGGCAGTGATCTCACTGCTAAGCTCTTAAATCAAACCTCTGTGCTAATTCCGACTCCCCTGGAGGTGGGGAAGGGGAAGATGACAAATAGATGATGGCTGAAGGCGCTTTTGAGTGTTTTTTTAATGTTCAGGAGTCTTACCTGTGAATTATCCTGAAACTTTGGGCTATGATGGCAGATATGACACTCTGTGTCTGAGTGAATTCAACTTTTGGGGGGAAAAATGCAAATAATGCAATTGAATTAGATCTGTTTGACCATTTGTCTGAACGATATGTTATGAATTAGTTTGAGTGGGTCTATTATGCCAAATGGTTTGATTGAAAATGTTCCTCTTGTTGAAGTTGTCATCGTTTTCTTCACAGCAGAGCTCTCAGACTCGAGTGTGGGCTTGTTACCACCAGTTCCTGAGGCAGCTGGTCCCGGGACCACACTTGAGAACCACTGCCTGTCGTCCCACTATCAGATTTCCAGACTTCCTCCGCTTAAATAAAATGAATACCTATAAGCCATTGCCCTCAGACCACAAACACTCTTGTAAGCATGACCGATTTGCTTGGGTTTCGCCCTTTTATCTGCCTGTTTATAGACAAGGGGCACCGGGGGAAAACATGCTTGTAACGAATGAGGACATAGCTTATTTCTCCCAGACTATTAACTGTACTTCATTCTGACCATAAAGAAGTTCCCGGTCTCTTGTGTTAAATAAAAACGAATGTAAAGGTGGGGGGGGGAGGGAATCATGGGAAATGCTTACCTACGTATCATATTTCTTTCCAGGTGGTCATTTTTATTGGCATAGGGGAGAGATGGTGGTAAATAGATTCCGGGCGGATGCGGGAAGAGATGCGTCTTCCATCACAGCCTTATTCTAATACCCTCTGCCTTTCCATTGAGACTGAAGTCCACTCCATTACTCTACTCCTAACTACCTCCCGTCAAGGAAAATAGCAAGGAGAATTTTATGCTCTCACTGAGCCCCATAATGCCAAGTCCTCCCTAGTTTCCCCAAAGAGTGATCAATTTCAGTTCGTCATTCTTCCAAGGGTCACCATCTGCACGTATATTTCAGGCTGTCTCATTCTACAGAAATCATCTCCCAGCTTCAGAATCTCCGCCTCTGTCCAACCCTCTAAAAAATGAATGCTTTGTGGAAATGCCATCTTTCTAAGCTGCTTCCAGCCAACGCATATTTACAGGGGAGCTTTCTCATCTAAAAGTCTGCTCGCAGTTATGGGGAATAAATAATAAATTGCTCTACAGTACAGCATTGACAGCACAGAACATGGCACAGTGCCTGGCACGTGGAGGGAACTGGGAGAGCGGGTGTGGAATGGATTTTACTGGACACTTACTGGGTGATCAGCATCGAGCTCAGAACCATACATGAGCACTCTGTGTGAGCATTTGTCTAATTCAGAGATCTTCCGGGGGAACCAGGGCACATCCTCTAGCTCTGTTGAAAACACAGTGCAGAATCAAACATGTTAGCTCACAGATTGTGTGTTCCCCTTGGCAACGTTTGTCAGATTGCAAAATCACCCGACAAGCAAAAACTGGCCTTGCCTTCTTCCTCTGTCCAAATGTTCTCGGGCGGATTCAGCGTCAGGATTGTAGTCTGAAATTTCAGCGACTGAATGAGCTCATTGAATTCTGTTTTGCCACACTCGAAGTCCACAAAGATCTCCACCTCGGAACTTCTCCGCCGGGATTTCCTGGACTCAATATGAACCATGTTGACACGTTTTTCCTGTGGGGATATAAGCAACACCTCTGAATCACCTCCAGGCACAATGAAAGGAATGCCTCAGGCTACTCTCCTTCAACTCAAACAAGGTACCCACTGCCCACGGAGGAAGAAGAGACATCCTCCTCCCTCTTTGGTTAATGAAACATGGAAATGTTTCCTCCAGTGTTTCTATTAATAGGAATAGAGACTGTAATCAGTTTTCCTGTCTCATTAAAAAAAGGGGGGGGGGGCGCGCCTAGCTGGCGTGGCTCAGTGGTTGAGGGTAGACCTATGAACGGGGAGGTCACAGTTCAATTCCCGGTCAGGGTTGCAGGCTCGATCCCCAGTGTGGGGCATGCAGGAGGCAGCCAATCAATGATTCTCTCTCATCATTGATGTTTCTATCTCTCTCCCCCTCTCCCTTCCGCTCTGAAATCAATAATAAAGAGGAGGACATTAATATAAAGGGCCCTATAAAATTACAAACATCGGCATTTCCCAGAGCAGTCCAGATCCCACTGATTCTTTGGGGAGCGGGAGGGGCATTAAGTTATATAATGCCCAGATTTATATTTCTATTTTCATATGCTTCCAAAAAACATGACTAAAACTCAAAACCCTGGTTTTATAGTGGTATAAAGTTTCCACTGTAATTTAAAGTTTAAAAATGAACTTTATAACGTTTAGAAATAAAATAATCTTTGAAAAAAATAAGGAAATAGTACAAGAGGCAGAAACGGGGACGGTGTTATGAAATGGCTGCAGTTTGGGAAACATGGGCCAAAGTGTAGCCCACGTTGTAGGCAAAGAAAAGGAAGAAAAGCAGCCAAGTGTGGATCCCTGAAGGCCAAGGGAAACCAAACCGCAAACAAAATACCCTAAATGGGACCACTTAGTAACTGTTCTCTCAGCAACCTCCAGGCTAGCTTCATACAAGAACACTTTGTTGAAATCACCACCCCTTGATGGATTTCAGGAGTAAAAGTCTCCTTACAATAAGGTGTTTGAGTGATGGCAGCAATTTAATACTTGAACCTCAGGTTTAAATTTCTCTGGGGATGTAGTCTTCCTTTCCCCTGAGTTAACTGAAGACTTAAGTTCTCCTCTCACCCTAACCCACCCCCAAATAAGCAGGCCCCTCCCCATCACTCCATTACTCAGAGTACCCGGGATGGTACTCTGATTATCAGCACGATTCCTGGCACGGTCCTGGGCGGTCCCAGAATTCTCAGCACAGGAGCAGGAGAGGTGGTTTCCAGTGCCAATCAAACAGCATCCTCCTCGGTATAAAGAAACTAGTCCTGCGACTAGGAAACGAAATGCCATAATTCTGTTTTGATTAACCTTTGCGCTAATGCCACATTCTCTAAACTGGCCGATGATAAAGGTGAGACTAATATGAAGATCAAAGTTCAAGAGTCTTCACGCAGATTGTGTCCCTTTGGACTTTTAATGTCCTCTGCTTGAAGCCGAGTAGGTATTTTGTAGACAAGGGAACTGAGGTTCAGATGGGTTAAGTGGTTTAGCTAAGACCCCATGACTAGCTGATGGCCAAGTGAAAACGCAGGGTTGCTAACTTTTTCTCCAGGGTTTTCTCCACTGCACCCAGCTGTCTAATTGAATTGCCCTGCCATTGGGCACTGTATGCAGACAGCGCTGGATGATATAATTATGTGTGAAATATTTCCCCAGATTTCCATTACAACTGTTTATGGTGCCTGAGCCTTTCTCCAAGGTCAAAAGAGAACAAGGAAATATTTGCCAAATCGGGCTGCTAATTCCCCTCTACAGTCATCAAAGAGCCATTACAATAATGCCTCATATCTGTATACTTGACCAGCATTTTCACTCATATTATTTCATCACAACAACCTTGTTAGGTAGGAAGAATTGTTGCTATTTCACAAATGAAGAAATTGAACATAGGAAGCAGCTATGATTTAGCCAAGCCAGGAGAACACAGGTCTGAATCCTCTGACTGTAATTTCATCTTTTCACTGCACTAGGAGCCCCCGGCACCTCAAAGAGATCGGCACCCTATCTTATCTAATCAGCAGACCCCATAATGCATTTGTAAAGGAGGGTGCCTTCTGAAGAGTAGAGGAACCATCGGGTATGCCCTGGCAAGCAGGCAGTAGTTTTTCTGGATTTTTCTAACCTCATTCTCAACCAGGCTCTTTCTTCAGTGTTTAAACCACCCATTTAGGCCTGGGGGGGGGGGGGGGAAGGCTACTGCATTTCCTTAAGCGAAAGAGAGAACTTAGATATAAGGAAAGTGACTCATCTTTTTACAAATGGCAAGTTCATGAAACAAGGAGGCTTAGGGGAATACCAAATGCCTATACTCAGGCATCTCGTTTTATGCAGTTAATGTGCTTCCAAGACATGGGCATGATTCAAATGTCAAATCAAATCGGGCTGCAGGCTCTTAATATTTAAAGAGATCCTGGCTCTTTTTGTGTTTGTATTTCCAGGTGTGAGGCTCACATTTTTTTAATCACTAACTGCTTCACCTGGCAACAGTCTGCAGAATTACTAGTAGGCTAACTCTGAATTCATAAAACATTGTTCCCACGAATCTGCTCATTCCATTGCTTGGCAGACCAACTCCCCTTGTAGAGCCTTATGAAGTTTGTTTTCTTTGAACCTTTCAACACAGTATCCAGAAATGCCTCAGTGATGTTTTGTAACGGACGACAGATTTGTAACCAGGCACACAGTCACTTTTAAAGGTATGTAGTGATAGTTCACATTCACCTGAAAGAGTTTCAGCGCTTTGACCAATCCACCAACTTCATTTTTCAAAGAGAATACAACCGCCGTCTTGCCACTTTCAGTAGCAGTTTCACTTTTGCTGCTTCCCTTGTTGCCTTTCTTATCATCATGTTTGCCAGAGTTTGCTTTATTTGGCTTTAAGAAGGTAGAAACACACACATGCACACATATTAGTTAGGATTCCAGAGTTCTCTTTCTCTGTATTTTTTTTTTCAGAGATTCCATTCATATGCTGGAAGCCCCAGGAATCATAAACTCAAGAAGGTGCTATGTCAGTTCATAACTTTTGATCCTAAATGTTGGTCTAATTGGCTCTGGGAAACTATTTTCTAGAGCTCTAAGACATCATCCAGTGGTTGCAATTAAAAGGGGGATCAGATTTGATCCACTTTAAGAGCAACAAACATCTGACTATCATAAAGTAAAAAAATCTCACATATGAATAATGCCTGCCTTTCTAAGTTTACTTTACAGCATAAAATGTGAACTATTAGCCTAGTTGACCCATATGAAAACTATATTATCACTAAATACAACACAAAGAAGACCAAATGTGTATTTTTCACAATAATTTTAGGTTCAATTAAATCTTAAAAACAAAGTATTCCTTTTATTCTGAAATATGTCCAGACATGCACTGTCATTGATAACCTCACTTTCTGCAGTTAGGTCCACATGGCCAATGGGTATCTATCTACAGAAGTTCAGCACGAAGGGAAAAAATCAGAAAAGGGGTGTGGAGAGAGGGGAGGAGGAGGAGGAGGAGAGAGAGAGAGAGAATGAACTACCTAATCATTAGACACAAAGAGTAGAATCTGAGAAACTGAAAAAGACTAACACTTTATTAGCCATTCAAGAGACTATATATATGACTAAGTAATGATTACTAGTCCTTTTGGCTAAAGATACAAATGGCAGATTCCAGAAACTCAGGTCACATTGTCAGAAATGCAGAATAAAAAAAAGCTGGAAACTTTAATTTGACAAAGCAAACCTAGGGTGTACTCTTTTGTACATGCAAATGAGGAATTGGGTAAACAGAGAACTTTATCCCTGACAAAAAGGGATTCAATACAATCTTGCCAATCAATTAGTTCCTCATGAAACTGAGGAAAGTACCTTAGACATGGAACCCAATGAATAGTGACTTGCCATGTCTTCCTCTGTTTTTTTCTACTGGCTTTATTTTCTCATGTTAGTATTGTCTCACTCACTAGATTTTTATATCTGTACAAATACTTTATTACTTATGACTTAAGGGAGAAAATGTTTAATGCAGATATTGGAGTTTGATAGCATGTTGTCATTAAAAGTTCAAATGTCGCAGTACTCTCACCATCTGCCTCCTCCTCACCACCTAACACAGAGCTCTTAGATATTTAAGTAGCATAACTCTGAGTTTTCTTTGTTTTCCTTCTAGCATTACAGTATAACTTCAAAATTCCTCCATGCAATATCTCATCCAAATATTCATGATATTTAAATGTTAGAAAATCTATGTTTAAGTTTTTTGGTCTTATTTTTGCATATTGATTTAAATAGTTCTACAAAACTTGCCCTGATTACTTTTCAACATTTTTAGCAGTAATAATACACCAGTACAATACAACCCTCTGGCACAGAGTTGGAGCTACAATACTAAAACAGATTTTTCTATGATACAGACTGAATTCTTATTGGTTGATAAAGTCTAATAGTACAATAATGAAATATCATTTAATATTTTTAATGACTAGAAATATGAATACATTTTTCTTTCAGTGTCTTTTTTAAAATTAAATTCCATGGCTATTACCTCAAATCAGAACCTAAAATCCTGCAAAATATTACTTTTTTATTCTCTTAATCTTTAAATATAAAAACTATCTTAAATATTGAAACAAGTGGTGTGTTGCTTTCATAGTCCATCAATTAAACTGAATGAAATGGAGTACTGAGCAATGCAGGAAAACTGTTGAAAGGAACTCAATCTTTCTTTTAATCCAATAGCCAACACCTATAGAGTAAAGTAGAAAAGATTACTTCTGTGTTTGAAGGTCAGGCTCTGTAGTTGGAATAGGGTATAGGAGATGCAGTAATCTTTCAGGAAACCTGAAAATCTATTTCGTTTCTTCTCCCTGTTTCTTCTCATAATAAATGGCCTTTCAAAATTCTACACACTTTTGGGGGTGTGGGTGTATGACATTGGCCTATATAACCTTTCGTCAATGTTCAGGACCTTCTTTGCTTTCTACTTATACGTTCTGAGGAAAAGAAGTTTAGCATGTAGCCATCAGTACACCTGCTTTACTTTATGGAGAGAGAAGGAAGACTGGAGGCAGACAGGAGGGAGGCAGGGTACACAGATAGAGGAAGGAGTTGAGGTGTGTGTGCTTACTCTACACCAGGTGTCCATATGACAATATGGCAGGATGAGACCATTCCTACCCTAGAAAATACTCTCTAGACTAGTCCCAGATACTCAGTACTCACTGTTAAGCTGCCAAGTAGCTGATGCTCTTCGGGCACCGCTGAATCCAGGGAAAACCCTCTCCTTGCCCAGTATTTACTGGAAAACATCATCATTGCCGGCTGCATGGATCCCGATGTAATTTTCTTTCTCTGCAGCAGGGGGGACTAGAGGGGTAGCAGCTGCGCTGGTGGAGATTGAGAAAGGAGCTTGAGAACAGCAGCCCGCTCGGGGCGCTGTCCAGAACCCTGGTGCTGAAGAGCAATGTGAATCCTCCCCTCCCAGGGCTCCTTTATATGAGTGACTGGGGACTGATGGAAGGCTGATTAGAAAGAAACTCATTTCTGGCTGTTGATGGCCACGGTCAGATTACAGACCTGAAGCCTGGGGTTATCTGTGCTCATGATGCGATTTGTTTCATAGGTCGAGTAGCCGTTTGGACGTGGGTGATGGAGAACAATACATAATAGGGTGTTATTTGTGAAAGAAAATATCTGTCGCCTGATGTTAGCTCTCATTTCTCAAACCCACTACTGGCAAGTTAACCTCAGCCTTTAGGTGACTCTGAATTCAAAGATTTTGTGCTTTCTTTTCAAAAGAAGGAAAGATTTTTTAGACAAATCAGCACTGCTGAATCCCTAAGCCATTTTATTTTATATGAATAAGCTTTTTCTGATCTGATGTGTTGTGTGTGGACGTGTGCATGTGTGATGGCTTTCATAAAGGTACTGCTTTGCAATTGTGTGATGCCATTTTGTGGTAATAGTCAGGCAATTGTAAAGAAAATGTGAGGCTTTGATTTAGCCACACATACATAGATTAGCCATATGTTTGACTAACCAAAGAGATATAGTTGAGACACTAACCCTAGAATCTTTCTCACAAAGTGAAAAGGAAAAGAAGAAAAATGCCCATTCAGTCATTCTTTTGATGCTATTGATGGTTAGTGAATTTTTAAAATTTTTTTCTTTATTGATTAGGGTATTACATATGGTTAGTGAATTTTTCCTCTCCACTTGTAACTAGATCAAATCCAACAATTCAATTTGAAATGCATATCAATTGATATACTTATTCAAACTTTCAGAAGTCATGAAATTCATTTATTGCCACCTTCTTGAGGGGTGGATGGATGACTCTTGACCAAATGCAGTTGTTTGACTGCAAAACTAACCAAAGCCTGGGGCTGACACTGCTTGTCGACATAGAAAAGAATATTAAACATCTCAAAACAGAAATAGGTGAACTAATATTAACTGAATTTTCATTGTTCCTGGAGTCTTGAGGGCAAACATTATTTTATCTAATTTTGGAAATATTATTTGACTTGCATTTTCTCTAAAAATTATTTCTGACCAGCTAAGAGGAAATTCAAGTTTAAATACATCGACTGAAATAATGGTAACATTAACTAGTATTCCTGATTTTTTAGCATTTTTTAATTTCTATTCTAAGCATATTTTTAGGTAAAATAGAGATTCACCATCACAAAAGCACCTACAAGACAGAAACTATTATTTACATTTTACATATAAGAAACTAAGGCACAAAGAATTTAGGTTCATACAATTAAAGAGTAATTGAGGCAGTATATAAATTTATGTGGTCTGGCTCCAAAATCCATCGCTCTCAACTATTACATTAGATAGCTTCTTGAATATTCCAAACAAGGAAAAACATCTTAACAAAAAAAAACTAAACTCAGGAAACCATACATAGATTATTTCAGCAAAACAGGGTTTGGGAAGATGTGTAATTCAACAAAGATTTGTTAAGCACTCACTTTGTGTTCGGCATTAAAACTGAATCCTAGGATGCAAGATGAATGAAATACAGTGCCTACCTTCTAGAATATCACAGACTAGCTGAAAAACCATACATGCAAATAAATAAGTGAACAAAATATGTTGACTTCATAGGGAAACATTAAAGAATAAGGGAGAGAGTGCTTAATGCTACCTTAGGGGAGTCAGAAGAGGCTTGTAGGAGGTGTGCCTGAGCTGAATATTTAAACGTGAGTTTGTGCCCTCGCTGGGATAGAGCATCGGCCTGCAGACTCAAGGGTCCCAGGTTCGATTCTGGTCAGGGGCACATGCCTGGGTTGCGGGCTCAGTCCAACATGCAGGAAGCAGCCAATCAATGATTCCCTCTCATCATTGATGTTTCTATCTCTCCCTTCCTCTCTGAAATCAATAAAAATATATTTTAAAACATGAAAGTGAGTTTGTGTTGTCAGAAGGGAACGGGATATGATCAGAGACATATTTCATCAACAGAAAACAATATAAGAAAATATGGGGGTCTGAGCAGCCAGGCAGCCCAGGTTCTCGCAGTCACTAGGTGCGCTGCGGCCCTCAGGCACCCAGCACATGCCCGCCCCACTGCTACAATGCCCAAGAGGAAGGTCAGCTCTGCCAAAGGGTCGGCCAAGGAGGAGCCCAAGAGGTGGCCGGTGAGGTGGTCAGCCAAACCTGCTCCTGCAAAAGTGGAAACATAGCCCAAAAAAGGTGGCAGGAAAGGGTAAATCTGCAAAGGGAAAGCAGGCCGAAGTGACTGACTAGGAACCTAAAAGGAGAGCTACCTGCAGAAAATGGAGAAACTAAATACGAGGAGAGTCCTGAAGCAGGAGAAGCCAAGTCTGATTAATGTCATAGACCATGTCTTATCAGTGGGCCCCGTCTCCCTTCTTGTCAATCCAGAATAATATTTTTATCAATTATTTTACAAATGCAAATATTTTAGTAGCCCTAGAAACATTTTTAAGGAGGGAATTCCACCTCATTCTATTTTTTTAAATGTAAATGCTTTTTTATTTTAAGAGGTGAAATCATTTGCTGGTTGTTTATTTTTTGCTACAACCAGAAAATAGTGGGATATTGTGTTACAGAAGACCGGAGAAGAACCAAGCAATGCTTAGAGAGATGGAGTTACATTTATTATTATTATTACACGCGGGCCCAGAGAAAAATGTCTCTAGAATTCTGGGCGAAGTCACACGGGAAAGTTTCCTGTATTTATATCTTTTTACCCTCTTTGTCTCCCAAATATGGGGTTTTTCCGGTTCCCTTTGCAACTTCTTAAAGAGCCCTATGTGCTGGGGCTTTGAGATCTCAAACAAAGGCTTGGCCTGGCGCCAGCACTGATAACTTCGTCTGGGGAAGGTTGGGAGTAGTCTTATTTCCTTATTATTTAAGCAAGCAAGTATTTACAGAAGCCAAAATAGCAGGCTTAAAATTTCAAACAGCAGTTTTTATATAAGATGGATGCTTCAATTGAACATGGGAGGCTCTGTCTTGGGAGTCAGCTTAACTTTCCATAGATGGGGCAGTTCTATATCCTATACTACAAAGCATACTAAATGGCAATTTAGAGTCAGTCGTGCATTTGCTATGTCTTGAACATTTTTAAATTATTTCTATTCACATGTCTTGGGTAGAATTGTTTCCTTAAAAACAAACAAAACACTTCTTGATCTTGGTTCTCCCTTCCAGAATTTTGTGCATCTTTAATGTGGTAGTCATTTTCCTAGTAACTTTGTTAATGTGCTGCAAAAGATTGAAAATTTGATAATGTAGTATATATGATATTAAATTGTAAATTAGTGGGGCTTTGATGTAACAGTGTGTCAACATTTAAAGATATTGGTACTTGATACTCTATTAAGGAAAATTAGCCTCAAAAATTTTAAGCTGGAAAGTCACTGGAGTAACTATTTAGAAATGAATAGCTCGGGTGACTTTATAATTTTGGTACACATGTTCAGAACCGTGTACAAAATGAAATGTTTGTGTACTGATCCTCAAAACAAACAATAAAATCTCAGTTATGAAAAAAAAGAAAAGAAAATACAGAAAGCACAATGTTTACTCAACAATGGTAGAGAATGGTTTGGAGGCAGGGGTGTCCAGTGAGAGAGAAGGCTGAAGAGGAAAGCAGGGCCTATATCCTGATAAACCTTGAATGGCATCGGTGGGCTTTGCACTTCACCTCATTCTTCAAGTGAAAAAGAATGATTGAAAGGGTTTTCTGCAAGACAATAGCATAACCATATTGGTATTTTTAAAAAAGTAGCAGCCTGGAGGAGGACTACAAGACCGAAAGACATAAACCACTTAGGACTTGAAGTAGTCCAGCCAGGAGAAGACGCCTGGCCTCGTATTTAGGAGAGCCACGTATTTAGACTCCTGCCAGGTAATGGGATTAAATGTCCATGGACTAATAGTCACTATAATTTCCATGCTACTAAAAATGCTCAGTGCAGACATGGCTTGTGATTATTTTAATTTTTATGATTATTTGCTATATTGACCAAGAAAATTGACTTGAGAATGATCAGACTTCATTTATAAGCAAAATGTATCTTATACTAGTGTTCTCATTGTCTTTCTAACAACTTTCATAAAGGGAAATTGATAAAAGGCCAGCATATTTAAGCCCAATTTGAAGGGTATAAAACTGAAGCACAAAAAGGATAATGATGTATTTTGGGATCAGTGAGCCAGTAGCTCAGATGAAACAGTTCAGATTTGAAATCAAAATTACCCCCGTCAACAGGAAACAGGAAACAAACCAAATGGTGCCCCAAGGCTGTTTCTGTAGGATAGAATGTTTGGGGAAGAAAAACAAACCACAGAGCTTTAGATTAAAAAAGATGGCCTGTGGCAGTATCTATTTGGTTGCCATCAGATAATAATGATAGCATTTATTAAGGTTTAATCATGCCAGGCACCCCGTATTAAACATTTTATATGTACTCCACTTAGTCCTCACAACTAGGGTAGTATTTTTCCCACCTACAAATGAGAAACCAGGGGCTCAGAGAATGGTTATGATCACAAAACTAAGGAGCAACGTAGTCAAATCCATGACTAGCTGACTCCATAACCTGTGTCCTTACCCAAATAGCTTAACCCTTCTGTTTCACGTTCATAAGTACAGTGGACATTTTCTGTAATGAACAATTGCATCAATTTGACTGAATTTCCCCCGTCCCCGCCCCCGACATCTGACTCCTGGAACTCATAGAATAAACTCTCCCTCTATGCCAAGAACATAAAGTATAAAGTGACCCAAGCATCCACACTCCACCTTAAGCCACCTCAAACTCCTTGAGGAAACAATGTAAAAGAAACTGTTTTTTAGTTCAGAAATACCACCACTTGTTTCTGGTTACTATTATTATTACCAGTTACCATTACTATTTATCCAGAAGTACCACGTCTTGTTACCAGTCCCAAGTCTGTGTGCCTGAGGCTTCAAAGGAACCT